GCTTTCCTATGGGAGCCACCCAGCTCCCATAAGCCACGCACGTATGTAAACAAGACGTGACATTATTACTTCAGCCCTGTCTACTTCAATAAATACAAAATAATATAGGTTTTCCCGGCTATTTTAAAACATTTTTCATTCAAATTCACCAAATCTAACATTCACTTTCGTCCGAGACAAATTTTGAACACTTTTAACAAAACCAATTTAGTCATGTACCATTCAATTTTAAAGTTTGGTCACCCTTTTTAGTCACCGGGTTGAGAATTTTCGTCATTAAAGATCAAATTCGTCCAAGCTGTTGCTGAATGGCAGCCTTCAGAGATCGAATTTTTCTGATATAAATCAATTAGACGAATTTGATTTCTGAATAACAAGGTTTGGCACAGACGAGACAGAATCAAATACTCCCAAGACGAAGAAAGTATGCTCATTGTTTGAATTTGCTTAAATTGAATTCGAAGTTGTCTGACAAAAGACGAAAATTAAACATTGGAAGTGCACTAAATCGATGTTGATGGACGAATTTGAATATTAGAAACGATGAATTTGAATGGTAAACATTTTAAAATAGCTGGGAAAACAAATATAAAAAATACATATATTAGTTACAGCTGCATGACATTGAATATAAAATCACCAGAAACAGAGGTACCCTTTCATACAGTTGTACTGGTAAGTACATATAAGTCATCAAAAGTCGTCATAAGTCAGCACAAGTCAATAGGGGCAAGTTCAATCAAGGACTGATGGTTAACTAGTGATGACGTACATAGCACATGCGCGCACTGAAGTTAAAGTGCAAATGACCTTGGTCAAACTATTGTCATGTCAAGGACCGTGAGAAAATGGATGCCGCACATCCGTTAAAGAATTTGCAACACTTGATGTTTCTGTTTATATTATTTCCACAAGTAATAGTGATTGCGTAGTTTAGGACACCTAATCGCCATTATTATTGTACTATGGTGACAAAAGTGACAGAATCTTAAACTAGCCAAAAAACTATGCACTCACAGTTTTAATATTTTCTGCCATTTTTGTTTATACATGTAGTTGGTTTCTTGCTATTTTTGCTAGGTTTGTGATGATCTTTGTATTTTATTTATGCTCATTGTCAATTTTCAACAGACGCATGCCAATCTTGATCAGTGGCACATTTAATTCTCAACAGGCCTTTATCATGCTGCCACCATTTCAGTCATACTCCCTGTATCCAATAACAGTACTGAATGATAATGTTTTTGTGCAAAAAGGAACCAGACTATTTTCTTTCCAGCTATCACATACCGTAATTTTCGGAATATAAGCCGCGCGGAGTATAAATTGCAGCATGCAAAAATCTGCAAATTAAGATTTGAAGTCGACGTATAAGCCGCACTGACCGCAGCGGTTTCAATTTTGTATTAAGGCCTCGTGTACATGTATGTCACTTTAAGGCACCCGTCCATGTACCGATATGCTGTGTACGCAAGTTGTAATAAAGCATTGCTTCAGAACCCACACGTGAATACACGAGTACATTACATGGTGTCAGAAGTTTTGGTCCCCAAAACTCATTAAAACGGGGAAAGCAATCAACCGGAACTTGACTAGCAGTACAGAAAAGCATCTAAAAGACATCCAATGAGCGAGTAACAGAAACTGTAGTTAAAACTCACAAAATAAAACGTCCGAACTTTTACACATCAACGGCACCTCGTGCGTAGCGTTGCAGGAGTACTGGATCAGTTGCGTGATAAAATTTCACACATCGTTTACAGTGCAACGAATCATTGTCAGAATGTTTCAAACAGAAAAAGGAACTGAAACTGAGAATCTCTCAAAGAATAGTGAACTTATTTTAAAGAGATTAACTGCTACGCTGTTCAAATCTGTCTGCAAAATAGAGCACTACCTACCTCGTGGCCGAAAACAAAACTACGAAGGCCGATAGCAGACATGTCAAAGTCAACAGAAAACCCCTGCATGAACTGGTCGGCACGTGATCTGCCCAAAGAATGGAAGAGATTCAAACAGCATAGCACATTCACATTCAAGGGACCCCTAGCTCAAAGTTGGAGGTTGAAAGGGTCAACTACCTTATGAGCTACGTTGGAGATAAAGGAAGGGATGTCTACACAACCTTCCAGTGGGTCACAGCAGATGAATGCGACAAGCTGGATGCAGTTTATGCCAACTTTGACAAATATGTGGATCCATGGAAAAACCACATCTGCGCCACCGTCAACTTCAACAAGCGAAAGCAAATTGAAGGGGAGAAATTTGACAGCTTCATCACTGACCTGCGGGTACTAGTCAGTAGTCAAAGACTGTGGCTATGACGACGAAGAACGCATGATACAAGATGCCATAGCTCTCCGCGCATTCAATCATGCAGTTAAAAGAGAAATGCCTGGAGAAAGGAGATGAACTGACACTTGCTTTGGCCATCAAAACTGGTCAAAACTATGAGACATGTCAAGAGAGCTTGTGAGAAATCAACAAGGATGAGGGGCGTAGTAATTCAAGGCCATAAGATCAGCACATCGCTCCTAAAAATCCAGTCGCACCAAGTCCCTCCCCCAGCAAAATCCACACCCCCAAAAAGGCAGTCGCAACCCCAGGAGGTCCAGCAAAGCTGAGGCAAAAACTGTGAAAAAGTGCCACAATTGCGGGCACGAGGCAGACCAAGCTGAATCACTTAACATCGATGTGCAGAAAACGGCTTGCAGCACATGGGATGGAAAGCCCAAGGCACTTCAGAAAGTGATGACTTTTCTGCAGATGTAGAATGGTACGAGAAAATCTGGATCAACAACAAATAGATCTAGGTGCAGATCAACACTGGAGCAGCGCAGTCCATAATGCTTCTCCACATATACCAGACACTCGGGAACACCAAAGAGCTGTGCCCTAGTGACCAAAACAATGAGTCATAGTTGAGCAACAAGCTGACGGTGGAAGGGCGCACCACGTTGCCTTCTGTAGTATCCTTACATGATAGCTATGTATAGGCACCACGTGCTCTGAAACCACACACCCAAACCCAGACATTACCTCATCCACATTGGAATGCATGAACCCCAACTTACTAAATGAATAATGAATAAGGCCCCAACTTGGATCAGATTGAACCCTAGAACAATGTAGCCCTTTGATAAGCATAGAACCTCATGTGATGTACTGAGATGTACTGAGACACAATAAACCAAGCAAGCATCGAAGCAACAACTACTATCCATGTGCTAGTGACAAGCTCACTACATTACATTGGCGACGAGGATTCAGGAACAAAAGTTGGGGGATATATCAACATATCAACTTCCCAAGATGGCACGAGGCACCAAAGCTGCACCAGACCACCTCTAGACATGGCAGATCACAACCTTGCCGTAAATATTCTCGGGATCGCGGATCAAAGCATCCCGCAAAAAAATGCCTGCTACAAGATCCAGTCATGAGCCTCGTGATCACCATTCTGAGCAACACCAACTGCACCTTCTAACCACTTCGCAAAATTCAGCCGGAGCAGGAAAGCAGACCAGCACAGACGGGCACCAAACATGTCCAACGCCATCATCAGCAACGACCCACCAAGCTCTCCGGATAGCAACTCCGAAGACGAATACGTGTTCTAAATCGAACAGGATTCAACCAACAACCAAACGTGTTATCAACAACGCACAACCAAGCGTGTTATCAACAACACCAAAGAACAAACAAGCGTGTTATCAACAACACCAAAGAACAACAAGCGTAACAACAACACCGAAGAACAACAAGCATGTTAACAACAACACCGAAGAACAACCGAGCATGTTCACAACGACACCAAAGAAAAGCCAAGCGTGTTAACAACAACACCGAGAAAACAAACAAGCGTGTTAATTGCAACGACACCACCAAAGAACAAACAAGCGACTGTTAATCACAACACCAAGAAGTGAACAAGCGTCAAGTCTGACCAACAAACAAATGAGCGTCAACTCTGACCAACAAACAAACGAACTTCATATCTGACCAACAAGCGTCAACTCCAACCAAAAACGTCAACTAACCAAAAACGTCAACTCGGACAATCATGGAAGAGAGTGCAGAATTTCGAACACTGATCATCGGAAACAACTGAACTGAACTGTATATACCGCGATGAATCTCTTTAAGTCTACCCTGTGCATGATCATACTTTCTTTTAAACTATAAACCAGTCTAACTTGATCTACTGCTTCATCATGTTCATGAACTTTGAACATCGAACAATGAACATTTCTCTACTAATTAACTGTATAAAATTGGAGTTAGATTTGCATTGATCAACTGTATTTCAAAAATTAGATTTAGATTTAAATCGCCATTCTATTTTTCATTGCTAAGATCTCACTCGCTGTTTATTAGCCAGTTCCATTCTAAGGTGAGGAGGGATCCTCACCTTACATGATAGCTATGTATAGGCACCACGTGCTCTGAAACCACACACCCAAACCCAGACAATACCTCATCCACATTGGAATGCATGAACCCCAACTTACTAAATGAATAATGAATAAGGCCCCAACTTAGATCGGATTGCACCCTAGAACAATGTAGCCCTTTGATAAGCATAGAACCCCATGTGATGTACAGTACTGTGATGTACTGAGACACAATAAACCAAGCAAGCATCGAAGCAACAACTACTATCCATGTGCTAGTGGCAAGCTCACTACATTACACCTTCATGTCACAAAAATGTGTACATTGATTTGCCACAGTCAAGCAGAACAAAACCCACTACTCCTCAGCAGAGATGGCAGCAAGCAACTTGGACTCGTAAAAGCATTTCCGGTGCCCAGTTTCGGTTTTGCAGCACTGCGACTCCTTCCGTTTTGGATGTCATCAGGAACATCTTCATCCTTCTAATCCCGGTGCAGATGTCCAAGTCAAGGTGAAGAGGGATGTGAAAATGATGGCAAGGGCCAACATATTCCATTCCGCTGATACCATTGTTGAGGGTGTGTTCACGGAAGTTGCGGCTGCTGATGTCTCCACTTGTCCCAAGCCATGCAACCTCATCCGCATTTGCAACCGGGCTCGCCAAAGCCAGCGTCCACCAGACCCCACCAACCTGAGCTTTGACATCGTCTCCTTAAGTGTGCCTGTTGGCTTCCTCTAGGCTGACATCCGGGTGGGAAACTCTCGGCACATCTTGTACTACCTAGAGGATCAGCTGGCAGTCTTGGACAGAGCCAACACATGGTACCTGGACAGCACCTTCAAGATTACCAAGCGTCCCTTCCAGCAGTTGTTCAGTGTCCACGCATTCGTTAAGGGGGACAGCGGCCAGCAGAAACAAGTTCCTTTGGCATTTTTCATGATGTCTAGTCGCACCAAACGTGACTACAAGAAGGTCTTGAAGCGCCTGAAGAAGACGCTACCATCCAGCGGGTCCAGGGTGGAAGAGATGGTTGTTGACTTCGAATCAGGGATGTGGTCGGCCATCCGTCTTGTCTTTCCTGAGGTGCATGTGAGAGGGTGCCTGTTTCATTGGAATCAAGCGGTTTGGCGCCATTGTCAACAATTTGGTCTCGTCATCCCGTTCAACACCGATGTCTCCTTCAGGCAGTATATCAAGAAATTGATGGCCCTGCCGTTCTTGCCTCACGAACATATCCCCAGGGCGTTTTACAAGTTGCAGGAACGAACAAACTCACCACCCTTGATCCAGCTGTGTGAGTACATCGAGTCAACATGGATCATCAGCACCAAGTGGGCACCCTCCAGCTGGACCGTCTTCCTGCAAAGTACGCGCACCAACAACGACGTCGAAGGGTGGCACCGGCGCATCAACTTCAAGGCCGGCCGACACGGACTCCACTTCTACAAGCTTGTTCACCTGCTCCACCGAGAGGCGTCACTAGTCAGCGTTCAGATGAAGCTCATCAAGGAATCCAAGCTAGCAAGATAACAGCGCAAGCAATACGTAAGAACTCAAGACAAGGCGTTCAAGTTATGTGACGCCTACCAAGGCGGACGACTTACAACATCCAGCCTCCTGTCTGCTTGCAGTCATCTCAACAGTCCATCTGCCTGAACCCGGTAAAGACAAGTCACCCCCCCCCCAAAAAAAAAACGAACGGCTCTTTTCAGAGCCACTGGCCCTAATGGGCCAAACATGTTCAAAAAAGATATAGAATCCTGCTGTTAAAATTAAATAAATAAAATTCCCACAGACTGGGTGAGCTCTATGGTTGTGATTGTGAAGAATGGGAAGGTGAGACTCTGTTCCCACCCAAAGGATGTGACAGGTCTTTTTGTTATCCAACGACGTGTATGCTCAATTGAGCACTTACCTAATCCCATTATTTCGCTGTATTTTCTATTGCAATACCTATAACGCATCACAATATAACTCACAATGAGCGTCGTAGACCAAGCTTCTAACCAGGAGATTTTGGCAGCTATCCAGCCCCTTCAGTAGAAGTTTGCTGCAACCCAAAAAAAGCAAAAACTCTCAGAAACCTCCGCTCCTCTCAAGACCGACGGTAATTGAGAGCAGTACGACCATTCTGAAAAAGTCAAGGATCTGCTCGAGCCAGCATTAGATTATTTTGAGTCTGCAGACGTCGCAGCTGTTAAGGCCAACCTACAGGAGGCATTAGAAAAATCAGCAGCAACAAAGAAGGCCTAAACAGCAAAGAAAAACAAGAACAAAACCAAGTACACCAGTCCTTTGCCACGCCTTCCGCCTGGACTGCCTACTCATCAGCGCAATTTTCATCGCTTCTCCAACACTTTGTCATCCTTCAACATCGATAGCAGAGTCTGCTTCCTCCAAAACATGTCCGCGCCAATTGCCCAGCACTTCGAGCTATACGAAGTGCACAGCAACAGCCCAAAAACCTTTGGGTTTCCTCCGCCTGAGTCGACAATTAGAAACTGGGAGACCACAGAGCAAGCCGCACAGGCCCCACCAGGAGTAAAAGGTAAACTGAAACCTTGTCTGCAATTCTGGACCAAAGAACTCAAAGCAAACGCCCTAGTCATTGACACCATTGCCCACGGTTATAAAATCCCATTCTGGCATACGCCCCCACCCTTCTATGCTAAAGACAACAAATCACACAGAACGGCCTACTGAGACACTTAAACCCACAAAGGTACCAGATCGCCCTTGGATCAAGCTGGGATCTGACATATTCCAGTTTGAAGGCTATCAGTACCTACTGACCATCTAATATTTCTTCAAATTCATTGAAGTTGACAAGCTCACAGACACAACCAGCGCAACAGTCATTGACACCCTAAGTAGTACACACAGTTTAGCTGTCACAGCATCCCTGAGAAGTTGCGGTCTGACAATGGTCCACAACACTCATCCACCGAGTTTGACACCTTCTGCAAAGAGTACCAGATCATCCATGTCACCTCTGCTCCTCATCACCCTCAGTCCAACAGGGAAGCTGAGCATGCCGTTCAGACAGTGAAGTGCTTGTGGAAGAAGTGCAATGATAAACACCTCGCGGTGCTTGACTATCCCACTACCTCACTAGCAAGCTGTGACCTCTCACCTGCTCAGCTGCTCAGGAGACGCAGACCTTGAAACAAGCTACCTGTTGCACTCTACTTCGTCCCAAGGTGCAGAAGACATCTGACATAAAACAGCGACTCACCCAAGACAAGGATAAACAACAATACTACTTCAACAAAAAAGGACATGACTTACCACCACTTAAGTCCGGAGACCCATTTCCTCGCTTTGGTTAAGTTGATTTGAATGGGGAAAGCATGAAGATGGCCGCAACATGATAATAGTCTATTGGTCTATGCAAGTTTCAACTGGCATGCATGTACGCAGTTCCTGACCGGCATTTGCAAATCCATTTTAGGGCACACAATTTACGCTGGTGCACGTAAAAAGTGATCAGCATGTTTCATATTAGTCCAATATATGATCAAATTCAAGTTTGAATAATCAATTACTGAACTATTTAAAAAAGCAAAGCTCTACAAGCCACTAACGAGTCATGTTATCTTCAGTGGCACGTTATTCAAATGATACTGGGACAAAAGCGTTCCTTTTTCATGGTTCAACTTGTCAAGTTCACTTTGTGACTTATGATAACTTACCGGTACCCTATTACAACTCAGAAATTAAGTAAAAAAAAATTTTCACAGTGTTTTTAACATTTATTTTATAAAAAGGCAAATATCAGTAAAACCAAAATAAGTCTAATAGTGCAGCCAATGTATGAAATAAAATATGCAGCCATTCAATAAAAATACATATAATACTTTGCATTAAAAAGGGTCCCATTTTCTTATCTAATTCTGTGTATGTACATGAAGAAATACATGAAAATCGCTAGCTCTAGCCTCTTGTGTGCGTTGTTCATAGCAAAACTCAGTGGATATATGGGCTTTGCGTATATGGTGGCTTTATGATGATCAGAATTTACTGTGATTTGAGTATAGTCTGTTATGCATTCATTCATCTGGTACAATCATTGGGGACCGGTTAATAAAAACAGTGAAAGCTAGGGCGAGATGCAGTTTTTTTCAACTTATCATTATTCCTTAAAAGGCATGAAAAAATCAATATTCTTTGCTTACTCCTTACACACACGGGCGTCAATCAGTGGGGGGACACCCCACCCCACACTTTTTAAAGTGGCGGGGATACCATATCGGTTGTCCCCCCCCCCCCTTTTTCACCCCTGAATGAAAATTTTAGCCAATGTAATGTTTCTATAGCTCAGAAAAGCTGATTCAATGACTCCAACCTCGAAAATAATATTTAAATGATGATCTTTTGCTAACAAATATTTGTTTTAAGTGATCTGAAATTACCTCAGATCACACCAAAGAGCGTCTACAATCAAAACAAAAAATAAACACCGTTAGGGCTTTGCACTCGCATTTGTGCTGATCAAGGTATGTCCCCCCCCCCCACCCCACTTTTGAGAAGCGATCGATGCCCTTGCTTACACAATCCATTGGCAAAGCGTTATCTGGTATATAGTTTGCAGAGATTTTCCGCTTATCGTAAGCACAGTCATTAACATGCCAGTAATAATTGAAGAAATTAAACAGATCTATTTTGAGTATGAATAAAGAGGTCAAGTGGTCTTTGTGCGTACATTATCAGCTGACATTAAAAAAAACCGTGTGCATAGTACTATTAAAACAAATATATTGAAATATACATGTAAGAATATGTGAAAGGTTTGGAGAGACCCACTTTTGTTGGACTGAATGGAAATTTACAGCCACAAAACAGAGAGCTCAAGAATACTATTTGAGTGATGTGCAGTTGGGGCTTAGCCTGAAAAATCCATATGTCCATGTTTGCAGTTAATATTACAAATTGCACAAATTTGTTCTTAAAATCCATGTTTACTTATTTATACTCTTGGTGACCAGGACCCAAACCGGTTTTAAACATCACACTTATAACTACTCCATCAAACTGTTATCCCCAATCATAAATACCTTTTTGGTTAAAAACCATTAAAAGTCAAAAAGTTGACATACTTCCAACAATTTTTGTTCTACCATCTCACTCTATGTTTCTATGGTGCACATGACGCATGCAGTGCGCTAATCTCTTCCTGTATGGAGATCATATCAGTGGCTCTCAAGCCAGCACAGGGCGTGGCGCATACTGCGTGCATGTGGCACAGAGGGAGTTTGCTCACGGCCGGTTTTATACACGGTTTTAAACACTGAGCAGTTTAGAACACCCATGTGTCAGGTTCTCAACCAATAGGAATAGGTAAACTGTCTCAGGTATTTATGAATGAATGTTTCAGTGTATTTGGAGTACCGGGTACTTTGAATGTTTTACTAATTCCAGAAACCAGTCTGAGCCCTGACAACAGTGACTGGGAGCAAATTTGTCCGCATCTTTTACACAATGGATTTTGAATGGCATTTGTGGAGAATATTCAAAATTAAAACCAGGGAACATAGAACCAAACAGATTTCATGATATGCGTATTTTAACACGCAACAGATGACACTCGTAACAGTTGCATTTTACACCCGAAAGCTATATTACATCCAGACAACTTCTGGGTTTTGAATTTTGGGGCATTTGGATTTTATCCCCATCATACAGCCGCTCCCTGACAAGCCCGGTAAAGCCGCCAAGGCAGCACAGATCGCTTTCAACAGGATGAATCAAAACCAGTCTTGAGAAGTTTGACAGCGCTAGCCAGGAACTTCCCAGCACACCTCATGCGCCTACATTAGCTTGAATACAGTGTGCATGGGGTATGCTCAGAATGTTCTGGGTAGCCCTGCCGAAGTTCCCAAGACTAGGTCCAATTCATCTTTGTGAGAGTGACCTGAACCGCCGCAGCAGACTGAAAGTGCTTGTCAAGTACCAGCCATTTAAAGCTATAGTCCATCATTTGCAGCCATCCAAAAAGTAACTGGCATACCGGTAATTATTGTTGAAAAACAAACTTGGTTGAAAGATACCGGTAGTAAGGGAACTAAACTCCCTGTGAAATTATTCTTTCTGGGAACCTGTCACTTTGAAGTAATCAACGAAAGAAGGCCTTAAGACGCACCGTAGGAAAATTTAAATTAATAGTTTGTTTTGTTTTTCGGCAAAGTGCACGCAAGCATTGGCACGACGCACACGTGCGCGCGGTTGCTATAATTCGTCGGATCAGTGCACGACGTCCCGTATAGCTGCAATTCAAAACAATTCAAGACATGATTCAGTAACTTTTGATTTAAAATTGAGATCCTAGAATGCTGTTTTTCTCGGAATATACAGGCATGCAACTGGGAAATCACAAAAAAAAAGGAAATTTAAATTGTTTCCAGACTTTGTACAGTGTTTTTCTATTTTCAATGGCACACATGGGAAGTAAAAAAAGAGGAAATCAGCTGCTCCGAGGAAAAGTTGCATGCCTGAATATACAGCTGAAGCTTAGCTGAAACTTCATCAGGTTAGTTGTTCAGTATCCTTCATTAGATTTTGAACGCTTTTGTTGTTTCAAACGAACAAAATGCACAAATTACAAATGATGGACTATATCTTTAAGGATATCCGCAGCCTACATCGAAATCAGACAATGAAGGATTAGTCAAATTTGCCTTATTTCTCCTCAAACCATGTTGTATCAGTACCCAAGTCGTAAAAGTGGTCCATCAAATAGGATTAATACCTGCCTTCTTTCTGAGGTATTCGAAGAGGAAGAAGCTAATGATAGTATGGGGACCTATGCGCAGCCAGTTTGGCATGAAGCCCTTGTATAAACCTACCCAACCTTCAGATTTCACTGTCTTGAGTAGGCAGTCCAGACCGTTCCTGTACATCCTCTCATTTTTCGGAATGCCTGCATAAAAAAAATCATTTGAAACTCATTGTTACTGTATTCATAAAAGACAGTTTAGCCATTCCTATTGGTCGAGAGCCCGTCACGTGGCCGGTCTTAAACGGATGATAAAGACATGGCTAGCTGGTCTTAAACACTTTTCCAGTGTCACATCAAATGTGGACTCCTAAAAATCCAGTGTCTCTTGCCGTTTTATTGGTTGAACGTTCACAGTCCTCATGTAGGCATGCGCAACACTACCAGTGAGTCAGAATTTTATACATGTAGTTCTAAATTCAAAACGCAACGTCCCAGGTGCGTTCTGCGCGACATTGCACAGAACATGCCACGCGCGCATCAATCTCCATAAAAGGGTTGTTTACATCTTAATCGCCAGCTGAACACTCCATTATTTAGCTAGAGGGATGTTTCAAAAAGCATGAAGTGAACTTGTTGAACAAAATCTGGATTTTTTGAAAGAAAAATTATATGTTATTGACCGAAAAGGTACTTATGAATGGGAATAAATGTGTGCTCGGTCGGTATTAATCACTCTGTTTAAGACCGCTTAGAGTCTGGGTGCTGATAATTACCCCTCGCCTCCGGCTCGGGTAATTATCAGCACCAAGACTCTAATCAATCTTAAACAGAGTGATGAAAACCTCTCGAGCACACATTTATTCCCTTATAACTGTCCAATTAGAAAGTGCAATGTGCATGCTTTTATGAAGCAGTACTGAGTTGAGTGCATATATTTCAACAAGGGAAAAATTTTCAAATTTGTTAACTGATTTTAAATTCAAATAGAAACCTTTATTTTTGTATCTGTTTTATGGTTAGGTATTAAGGCAAGAAAAAAAAAAAGTGTTCCCCCAACAACAAAAAACGAGCCACCGATCCTCATATGTTTCTTCATGTGAGGACACCAAAACTATTTTTTTTTTGGTCAAACATATCTCTGACCTATGCCAAGTCTGCGGTGTTATAAACAAAATACCTATTCTTTTTAACTCGTACAGCAAAACTTAACCTCCCTAAATAACAAACAAAGGGTTTTGTTTCCTTTTAATTTGACTCCGGAAAATAGAAAACTCCATAGAGCACCTAAGGAGACTTATTTTATAGTTCCCCCCCCCCCCCCCCCCCCCCGGAAAAAAGACAACACAGATTTCATTTCAAACGCTAACCTTTGATTCGCTGGTTCATGACCCGTGTTTTAATGAGGTCAACTGGTGAGGTAGTGACGGCACACATGAAGCCTGCAGTCATGGCAGATACTATATGCAATGCTGGACCTTCAACCATCCAGCCAAGGTTGAGTATAGTGTGCTTAGTATGGTCATACGTAGGAACCTGCAATCAGGGCCAAAAAAGTTACAATATTTGTATTTTTCATGGACAGTGCAGTTGCTTCGGACATGCAGTGCAGCATGGTATGACTTCTAAGTCCCGGGGCAAAGATCGGTAGTCACAGAGCAACTGCTAGTCTCGGCATAATGGAATGAATAGTCACGGCATAATGATTAGTCGCGGCAAAACGACTAGCGGCGGCATAACGACTAGCGGCGGCATAACGACTAGCGACGGCAAAACGACTAGTGGCGGCATAACGACTAGTGGCTGCAAATGATTAGTGGCGGCATAACAACTAGTGGCGGCAAAACGACTAGTGGCTGCAAAATGATAAGTGGCGGCAAAACGACTAGCGGCGGCAAAACGACTAGCGGCGGCAAAACGACTAGCGGCGGCATAATGACTAGCGTCAGCAAAACGCCTACTGGCGGCAAAACGCCTAGTGGCGGCATAACGACTAGTGGCGGCATAACGACTAGTGGCGGCATAACGACTAGTGGCTGCAAATGATTAGTGGCGGCATAACAACTAGTGGCGGCAAAACGACTAGTGGCTGCAAAATGATAAGTGGCGGCAAAACGACTAGCGGCGGCAAAACGACTAGTGGCGGCAAAACGACTAGCGGCGGCATAATGACTAGCGTCAGCAAAACGCCTACTGGCGGCAAAACGCCTAGTGGCGGCATAACGACTAGTGGCGGCATAACGACTAGTGGGGGCATAACATCTTGCGGCGGCATAACGACTAGCGGCGGCATAACGACTAGTGGCGGCATAACGACTAGTGGCGGCAAAACGACTAGTGGGGGCAAAACGACTAGCGGCGGCATAACGACTAGCGGCGGCAAAACGACTAGTGGCGGCATAACGACTAGTGGCGGCATAATGACTAGTGGCGGCATAATGACTAGAGGCGGCATAACGACTAGTGGCGGCATAATGACTAGAGGCGGCATAACGACTAGTGGGGGCATAACATCTTGCGGCGGCATAACGACTAGTGGCGGCATAATGACTAGTGGCGGCATAATGACTAGAGGCGGCATAATGACTAGTGGCGGCATAATGACTAGAGGCGGCATAATGACTAGTGGCGGCATAATGACTAGTGGCGGCATAATGACTAGAGGCGGCATAACGACTAGTGGCGGCATAATGACTAGTGGCGGCATAATGACTAGCGGCGGCATAACGACTAGTGGCGGCATAATGACTAGAGGCGGCATAACGACTAGTGGGGGCATAACATCTTGCGGCGGCATAACGACTAGTGGCGGCATAATGACTAGTGGCGGCATAATGACTAGAGGCGGCATAATGACTAGTGGCGGCATAATGACTAGAGGCGGCATAATGACTAGTGGCGGCATAATGACTAGTGGCGGCATAACGACTAGTGGCGGCATAATGACTAGTGGCGGCATAACGACTAGTGGCAGCATAATGACTAGAGGCGGCATAATGACTAGAGGCGGCATAATGACTAGAGGCGGCATAATGACTAGAGGCGGCATAATGACTAGAGGCGGCATAATGACTAGAGGCGGCATAATGACTAGTGGCGGCATAATGACTAGTGGCGGCATAATGACTAGCGGCGGCATAACGACTAGTGGCAGCATAATGACTAGAGGCGGCATAACGACTAGTGGCGGCATAATGACTAGAGGCGGCATAACGACTAGTGGCGGCAAAACGACTGGCGGCATAATGACTAGCGGCGGCATAACGACTAGTGGGGGCATAACGACTAGCGGCGGCATAACGACTAGCGGCGGCATAACGACTAGCGTCGGCATAACGACTAGTGGCGGCAAAAATACTAGTGGCGGCATAATGACTAGCGGCGGCATAACGACTAGTGGCGGCATAACGACTAGTTGCGGCATAACGACTAGTGGCAGCATAATGACTAGTGGCGGCAAAACGACTAGCGTCGGCATAACAACTAGTGGCGGCAAAAATACTAGTGGCGGCATAATGACTAGCGGTGGCATAACGACTAGTGGCGGCATAACGACTAGTGGCGGCATAACGACTAGTGGCGGCATATGATTAGTTCCGGCATAATGACTAGTCAACTGTTTAGAAATTGATAGTCATGACTACCAATGCTTTTAGCTTTTTAGTCATGAATGCCTAATTGATTCATCCTGTTCATAATAATGGCTACATTAGAAGAACAAATTGCCTAGGTTAAACCCTACCTGTGTTCCAGTCAATAAGATTGCTCTCTGCACCGTGGGTGCTGTGCCCCTATATAACCCCCAGAAGCCTTCCTTTGTCAGGATATCAGTGAAAGCGTGGATGAATCCCCTGTATTTAGGCTGCTCTCCGGCGCTCAGACGACCCTGGGCTTGAAGGCGGACACGGATTAGATCGGTGGGTACGGCTACCGTGCTGCCTATAGCACCTGTGGACAGAGTGGTGCATAAAGAGTAAAATGCTTAAAGAATGAAACAAGAGTGTCACTGTCCAGCACAATGCATTGTTCATTTGCATTAACCCCCAAAAAGCCAAGGGGGAGGGGAGGGGGGGTTGGTGGCAGAGTTGTAACGAGTCACTGATTTTTGTGACTCGAGTCGAGTCAAATCATTTTAAAAAAGTGACTCGAGTCATGTGGAGTCATTTTAAAGAAGTGACTCGAGTCGAGTCATTTTAAAGAAGTGACTCGAGTCGAGTCATTAGGTCAAAAGGTCGAGTCGAGTCGAGTCGAGTCAAATATTTAGCTCGAGTCAATTCGAGTCACGAATATTTGAACACTATATACCAAAATTTATAAAAGGAGGCCATAAGTTTAACCAGCGTTCGAATCCAATAGCTTTATAAGAAATCGCCCAAAGCCAATGATGAAACAGCGAATAAGAAAATGTGTTTTAAAATCTGGTTCCTGGATAGTATTTTGTGCGTTCTAGAACCATGAGGTGGGAGTCTGTGACACATTGTATATTTATACATGACTGCCATTCGCAAAGCTAAGAGAGCATAGATTTTGCAAGGTAAGTCATTGCAAATACTTTTCGCAAAGTTGTGCTTTTATTTTTGGGACTCGAGTCTTATTAGTCTTCGCTGGAGTCGAGTCGAGTCTTCTGATGAGGGACTCGAGTCGAGTCGAGTCAATTGCTAGCAGTGACTCAAGTCGAGTCGAGTCATTTACCCTTAGGGACTCGAGTCGAGTCAAATCACCAAAAAATGTGACTCGAGTCGGACTCGAGTCGAGTCATTGACTCGAGTTATTACAGCTCTGTTTGGTGGGGGGGGGGGGGGGGCTTTCAAGATGAACAAAGCAAATATGGCATGAATACCTGAGGTAGCACCAGCTGCAAGTTTCTTGAAGAGAGGTGTGTGATGACGGTCTGTGGCTCCAAACAACACTTTGATTGGTTCATAGGCTCCGATGCGTATGGTGCTGTACGTAGCCTCACGCACCAGGGCAGGGGTCAAGCTACGGAGTGCAAATGATGCAAAAACAAGAAAATTAAAAAGTAGGGCCTAAAACTCGAGTATACTGAACTTTCTCTTTGAACCCCCTCAACGAGAGAGTTGGAAGAGACCATAGAGCTATATTAAATTACTAGAGGGCTAACTCGTCATTCTGCGCGCGGAGACACTTTGACGCCATCCTGGGCGCAGACATTTTGATTTCATGTGCGTGTTTGTAGAACATAATGAAATTAGATGGATGGAATTTAAAAGTGTACTCTACATGCAACGCGCAGGTAGAACATACGCAAACAACTTAAGCGCGTCATTGACGGTTCAAAAAAACGTGACGGCAAAAGGCATCTGCAGCGAATTCGATCTTTTCACACTTCCGCCATGGGCATGCAGAGCCTCGATCTGGCAACTTTACACAATAAATACAGCCGGTTCAGTGGTTCCCGTGTCGGGGTTCAGATCACTGAACCTGCTATCTTCATTGTGTACAGTTGCCAGATCGAGGCTGTGCATGCCCAATGGCGGAGTGTGAAAAGAGCGAATAGGCGCACGCGTTGCGCTGTTTGCGTAGAGCAAAATGACACGCTCATTTGCTGATCGTGCATTTCGGTTTTGGGCGTATTGGCTTCGATAACGCACCGGTATGGAATACAAACGCAGATATGCAAATAGCCGTACAAAAGCCATACAAAATTTCTAGGTCTCCATAGGTTTGTGCACAAACATGGATGCGCCCAGCAGGTATTACTTTGTACACAAAGTTAGCGCTCTAGGAATTTAATATAGCTCTATGGAAAAGATCTACATTGTAAGTAACCACAATTTATGCCCATACAGAGTATAATTGGTAGTGCATACTTGGCGGCATATCAGCAAAGCAGTGCATGAATGCAGCCCGTCTCTCAGACGGGAACCCTCACAAGTGTTGACGGGGCACCAACTACTGATCATACATGTACAACGAGTCCGTTCCTACGTCCCGCACATCCACAGCATCTGATGTGCTGGTGGAACATGTGCAACTGGAATAATGACTAGCACCCAAACAGCTCGATTTTTGCGAGTCAAAATTTTGACCCCAAAATTCGTTCTCACACGAATAACACAAAAAAGGCGAATTTTTAAAGGATGGTTGTGTGGACATTTGTAATGCGATCAAGCTACATGAGTCGTTTGTCGGGAATTTTCATTTGGAGATACAGGCCAAAATAGGGCCACTTCATCACATCATTTAATCATGTCTCTTGGTGTTCCGACTTCCATAATTTTTGAACTAAAGATGGTATCAGCATGCGATTTTAACAGCAGTAATGCTGAGATTGTGCTCTTTTAAAATCTGTAAGAAAAGATTTTTTGACCGGGGTCGACAAACGACTCATTTAGCTTGATCGCATCACATTTATATTCTACTTTTATATGTTCTTTCCAATTTATATCATTTCATTTAAAACGCATTTGTAGGCTAATTTGGCACTTTCCAGGACACAATTCCCCTTAACATGGGCCAAGTTCGGGCAAGGACCATTAGTCGACTAGTGGTTGATTTGTGACGTACCTTACGCCTGCGCACTGATAGCAACGTGCGAACGTCTCTAGTCAAACGCTGGTCAAAATTTCATCGCAAAACTTCTGGATCCTGGCTCTCTGCTAGCGTTATGAATGCGCGCGGCTATTGGTTACCAGCGAAGCAACCAACCCCAATAGGCTGGTTCCAAATAGTCGGCTAGCGTAGTCAACCACCGTCGACTAGACAGAGTTCGGGCAAACGTTAGTTAACAATTGGTCAACTATAGTCCTTGCGCGAACTTGGCCTTAGATTGAGGCCTTGTATTTTAAACTAGCAAGCAGATCATAATAAGTACATGATTCCCTTTTTCATTTTAAGCATGTAAATGTCACATCCATAAGGCCAAAAAAAAAAAGTATCCGGTTTCTGGTATGCGCGCGCGTGGCTGTAGCCATGCGCGTCGGCAAAATGAAAGATGATGTCTCAAAACCGCCAAACTCACTGGTTTGACTGGAATCCTGCTGCTGCACAACTTTAACGTGTTTTTAGATGGGGTTATGATCTAGAATAAGCTTTATGTGGCCTCTCTGGACTCCCATATATTTGCACTAAGTTTAGTCGGGCACCATTTCCAGTCATCAGCCGACATTTGAAGCAAAAAAGTCAGGTAAAAAAAAAAAAAAAGCCGCGTCGCCGCACCACTTTTTGGACAAGCTCCATACCAGAAACCGGAGACTTTTCTTTTGTGGCCTGATGCTTTACCATGCAACTTTACCCTTTATATAGAGCCAAGATTCCCTCCTCTCTTGCGATAGTTACAGCGCCCCTAATGATGCCCTTGTAGTGGCGTTCCTTGTACGCTTGTCCTAGCCGACCTCTCTGATTGGCTAACTCACCGTCCAATTGCATGCGGACCTTGGTCACATCCACTGGATTGGTTGCTGTGGAAAGTGCAGCAAAATATCTCATTCATTTGTTTTGTTTTTATTAATTGCAATAACCGTACATTCGATGGTCCCCGCATCCAGAGAGCGATTCCGTTACCGAGCTGGGAAACCAGTTCAAGCTAGTTCCCGACTCCCATTTATCGTTCGAAATGCACTTGTGTTTACAAATGTGATCCAGTCTACTCATTATCATAATCAATGCATTGCGCACGCTCAGTAACGGAATCGCTCTTGGGATACGGGGACCATCGAATGTATGCTGGGCATGAAGACCACATCGCATCGTTCAAACACAAATCGAAAATTTAACGTCTTCACAATCGCGAGGGGAGCTCTTGAAATTGAACGGGAAATTTCAGTTTTCATCCAGATCGTAAGTAAACTTCAGTACAACCATCTTTTTTTATCATTCAATGTCTACTTGTTCCTCAGGTGGCGTATCTAATAATTTGGTAGCCCCATAAATGTGGCCAATTTACTGGACTACCTCCGTAAATAAAGGCCACACTTCCACCATGTACAAAAACATGTCTAACTTTGTCAAATTTTGATTTTCACATTTAGGCTTAGTTTGTAGTTTATTTTTGCTTTAGAAGCATACTCACCCTCTTTATACTTTATAGGCTAATCAGAAAGTGCTGCCTTTTTCAGATGTCGATTTTTTGTCAAAATTTCAACATGAAATTTCACGAAAATTAGACATCTGAAAAAGGCAGCACTTTCTGATTAGTCTATAAAGAGGGTGAGTATGCTTCTAGAGCAAAAATAAACTACAATTTGTAGTACAAACTAAGCCTAAATGTGAAAATCAAAATTTGACAAAGTTTGACATGTTTTTGTACATGGTGGAAGTGTGGCCTTTATACGGAGGTAGTCCAGTAAATTGGCCACATTTATGGGGCTAGTGTAGTAATTTGGAGGCCGTTTTGAGTAGCCCCACTAGTGTGGCTGCGGTATGCTGCGCTGAACCTCTGGCCACACACCGTCGTACCGCGCACTACTGAGGGCGTTTTCATAAAAATTACGGTCCGTTTCTTACATACGGTTGTATTCTATGATGTCCCATCTATCACTTCTGAGATGCTTAGGTGTAATGATGTTCAATTTTCCGAGATATTCTTGAATCTTTCTGGAGCCCATATGCTCTCGTGAAACGTCTGGTGATGGCAGCCATTTTCAATGTTACAAGAGATGACCTCAAGCTGTGACGTCGCGTTTATGCAAATTGCTTGTCGAGCGAGGGCGCGAGTTGCAAATGCGACGGCTGTTTCCTGTACCATGCATTTATCGTCTGGGGGCCACGTGCACTGATCTCTATTCAGGATCAACGGCACAGGAAACAGCCGACTCGTGTTAATGTTAGAACAACGTGATTTCTTCTTCATGCCCAGCGTACATTCGATGGTCCCCGTACAAATGCCGTATCCCGAGTACGATTCCGTTACCGAGCGCGCGCGATGCATCGATTATGATAATGAGTCACGTTTGTAAACCCAAGTGCATTTCCAACTGTAATAGTGAATCGGGAACCAGCTTGAACTGGTATCCGCCATAAAAGCTGCGCCCGACTCCCTATTATCGTCCGAAATGCACATGTGTTTACAAACGTGATCCAGTCTACTCATTATCATAATCGATGCGTCGCGCGCGCTCGGTAACGGAATCGCACTCGGGATACGGGGACCATTGAATGTACGCTGGGCATGAAGAAGAAATCGCGTCGTTCAAACATTATTAAACACGAGTCAGAAATTTAACGTGTTCAAGATCGCGAGGGGAGCTCTCAGAATTGAACGGGAAATTTCACTTTTCTTCCGGATCGGTAAGTAAACTTCAGTACAACCATCTTAAAGGGAATTTACATCATTTGCTTTTGCTGTAATTTTCAGAAATGGATGGAATTGGGGGGTTGGAAATATATTGCAAATATAGTTTACACTGACTTTTTTGAGGTTTTGGGTTCAAAAATGCTATAAAAACCAAGAAAAACAATCATTTTCCTGTAGTCTGGTTCCCTGACTCCATTTAAGAAGAAACAGAGCAGTTTACATACATTGGGGAATTGTAAGGTCAGGGAACCAGTCTAGCTGGCTTGTACCCGTTCATAGGTGTGTAATCGATTGCAAACAAGTGCGATGGTCAACTGGGGCCAGTATTTGAAAAAAAGCCATTTTTTTCCAACACTGATCGGCCGATCAGCGTTGGAAATTGATACAAAAATACCACTTTTCTTGAAAATGACAGTATACCAGGTGCCATGATTTTACAGGATGCTTTACACTGTCATTCACTAAGGCCAAAAAAAAAAAGTCTCCGGTTTCTGGTATGGAGCTTGCCCAAAAAGTGGTGCGGCGACGCGTTTTTTTTTTTTTTTTTACCTGATTTTTTTGCTTCAAATGTCGGCTGATGACTGCAAATGGTGCCCGACTAAACTTAGTGCAAATATATTGGAGTCCAGAGAGGCCACATAAAGCTTATTCTCGACCATAACCCAGTCTAAAAACACATTAAAATTGTGCAGCAGCAGAATTCCAGTCAAACCAGTGAGTTTGGCGGTTTTGAGACATCATCTTTCATTGAAAAAAAAACTTTTTCATTTTGCCGACGCGCATGGCTACGGCAACGCGCGCGCATACCAGAAACCGGAGACTTTTTTTTTTTGGCCCAACAGTCCAAAAGGTTTTTCAAAATGATTTGGTAGTTTCATTTTTGATGTTTGCAAATGTTGTATTTTCCCTTTAATCATCGATATCTACTTAAATACCTCAGGTGGCATATCTAGTAATTTGGAGGCCGTTTTGAGGGTGAAATCTATTAGCTTGGACCTTACTATCGCCAAACCATGTCCGAATGTTAAAAAGGCGATAAGTTTGGTCCAAGTTACTCGGACTAACAACTGCCACACTAGTGGGGCTAGTTTTGAGGGTAAAATCTGATGTTTTTTGTTGGGCAATGTTGGTTTTTTGGGGTCAATGACAGAATTGTGTTGCTCGGAATATATAAGGATTAGCTTGGACCCTACTAGCGCTAGACCATGTCCGAATGTTAAAAAGGCGATAAGTTGGGTCCAAGTTTAACTCGGCCTAGCCTACATTCAACTTCTCAAACTCGGCTTCCGGTGTCACATGAAAATCCGACTCCTATGAAAATCGGACCCCTATTTCCCTATTATTGGTTGATCCCTCACACGTGACAGGTCACTCTCCCGAAACGATTCTAAAAAGTGACCTGTTCTGTCAAAAGCAGACGCTTCTGGGCAGAGGTTGAAATTGAGATAAGCCCAAAAAACGCCGTGGGGGTGATTTTTATCGATTTTTTAATTTTTGCATATTTGTAATCCTGAACATGTCTAAAATATTTTATAAAAGTTTGAAACCCTAATTTGAACTCTACATATACTATTTTTGATGATTTTGATAAGGTATATCAGTTAAAGAAATAACTGTTTTGTGACATTCGTGGCCATTTTCTCCGTTTTCTACTTTTCGACACAATGAACTTCAAAATACCTCTGCCCAGGAATGACCGGTTTCAAAAATTAAACCACCTATTAAAAGGAAAAAGAACATATGTTAACAATATGTAAAAATATCATTTTCGACCTTATGCCCAGAAAAGTCTGATTTTGACAGAACAGGTTACACAATAGCATAGTATCGTACTCACGCGTGCGCAGTACTACCAATGAGTCCACATTTCATGGAGTCTGATATTCACGTTACACCTTAGCCCCATAAATGTGGCCTATTTACTGGACTGCCTCCGTAAACATAGACCACACATCCACATGTACAACTACAAAAACATGTCGCACTTTGCCAAATGTCGTAGATGGCACAGGAAACAGCCGTCGCATTTGCAACTCGCGCCCTCGCTCGACAAGCAATTTGCATAAACGCGACGTCACAGCTTGAGGTCATCTCTTGTCACATTCAAAATGGCTGCCATCACCGGACGTTTCACGAATGCATATGGGCTCCAGAAAGATTCAAGAATATCTCGGAAAATTGAACATCATTACACCTAAGCATCCCAGAAGTGATAGATGGGACATCGTAGAATACAACCATATGTAAGAAATTCCCTGCAAATTTTATGAAAACGTCCTCAGTAGTGCGCGGACCACGGTGTGTGGCCTTAGCCTAGGTTCAGCGCAGCATACCGACGGCCACACTAGTGGGGCTACCCAGAAGTGATAGATTGGACATCATAGAATACAACCATATGTAAGAAACTGCCTGTAATTTTTATGAAAACACCCTCAGTAGTGCGCGGTACCATGGTGTGTGGCCAGAGGTTCAGCGCAGCATACCGCGGCCACACTAGTGCCAGTGGGGCTAACGTTAGCCGTTTGCATATCAAAATTTCAACATGAAATTTCACAAAAATTAGCCATCTGAAAAAGGGAGCAGTTTCTGATTAGCCTATAAAGAGGGTGAGTATGCTTCTAAAGCAAAAAAAAACCTACAAACTAAGTCTAAATGTGAAAATCAAAATTTGGCAAAGTGCGACACGTTTTTGTACATGTGGATGTGTGGCCCATGTTTACGGAGGCAGTCCAGTCGGGCCACATTTATGGGGCTAGCTACACCTGAACAAAGTTACCATCGTTTTCAAACATTCATACCAAAGGCACCGCACATGCCGCCGATGCCAGCGAAACAATACCGTAGCGCATGATCTCTTGAAGAAGTTGGCATGGTGATAATCAGGCCTAACCGCCGAAAACACTAATTTTGAGGCTTTCTTTGCAACCCAACCCAAGCCTTCAGAGTACCGGAGGCCTCAAGGAGTACCGCACGACATGACATGAATGATATAACGCAGCGCGCGTGCTAAGAAACAGGGTACAAGACTAGTAATATGCAGACTGAACATTAACGAGACACTCCCCTTTTTTTTAAATGCTGCCCTCAATCTTTTGAATCATTTTCAGCACTGTTCATGCTGTTGTATCAGCTCATCAATCTTCACAAAAGCTTGAAGATGAATTTCAAACCATTGGCCTCTTCAACTTTGATACGATTGGGAGTCAAATTCCATACATTTTTTGCAAACATTGTTTAATGTCTGTAGATATTGGATTGCAGGTCGACTCGCCCCCCGGCCGACTCGCCCCCCCCCCGGCCGACTCGCCCCCCCCCCGGCCGACTCGCCCCCCCCCCCCCGGCCGACTCGCCCCCCCCCCCCGGCCGACTCGCCCGTCTTGTTAAAGACGTTAAATTTAAATAAAGTTTGTTACATTTCTTCAGTTTTTAAACAATAAATTAATCCTTTTTGAAATCTAACTCTTATGACTTAAATTAGTTTTCTTAAAAATGCACTTTCAATATCAAATTAAATTTATACAGCAAAATTCTCCATTGTCAACTGAACAAAAAGCAAATAGAAAGCCTGAGGCGAGACCTCGTTTATAAATCACCGAGAAGATCCAATTGAATACATTAAGGAGTAAGGTAAGGAGTATGAAATTATTAACTTATTGATGCAATAATTTTGGATGACCCAGGACAGATCAAAGGAACATCCCTTCTCCCAGACATGTCACTGCTAAAAAGCCAGTGACAAATCATTACCCTTACAATAATTTTTCAGCAAGTTTCCAATATTGTCCATTGTTAACTGTCTGTTGCAGTATCCGGTTTAAGATTATTTTAGAGGCATAAATAATTTAATGGAATCAAAATTACTTTTCATTTTATTTTAGTGTTGTTGCCTTAGTGTATACAAGGGCGGATCCAGAGCACAATTTTGGGGGGGGGGCCAAAAAAAATTTTGGTCCCCCCAAAAAGTGGGTCTAAAAAATTACGGCGTGGGGTTCGGGGCCCGCGAGGGCCCCGAAAATTTTTTGGATTCTAGATGCTCTGTGGTGCGATCTGAGGCAATTTCTTACCACTTTAACCAATTTTTTTTGAGGAAAAGATGGTGATGTACTCATTGCCTGCCTTTATTGCGATGTCACATTAAAAAAAAAAAAATTGGTTTCGTTTTGGGGGGGGCCATGGCCCCCTTTGGCCCCCCCCCCCTGGATCCGCCCTTGAGTGTATAACATTAATGACGTTGCATTATGCAGTCGATTTATCATTTCATATTGTGCGAGCCAGTTTTTTTTAACTCAAGTTTCCGATGAGGGCATCCTTGTCCAGTAGAGCAGCTTCGTCATTGTCCAGTCTCGTCCAAGCTTGGTGGTCCTCATGTCCTAAACACGACAAAATAAGCAAGCAAATTAAAAAAAAAAATACATATATAAGGAAATCAAGTACTGTGGATTTTGTAGGAGGGACAAAATACAATCAGAGGAATAACAAATTATAATCCTCATAACCTGGTCTTTTTTCGTTTTCAAAGTAAACTCACCTCAAGAATCAGTAATGGTCAGGCCAGCAGGTGGTGTCAGTCCATCGTCGGTCCTCCCAGCTTACGATGGCTTGAGGCAGGCTCATCCTCATCTCAGTAAGACAATTCCCTCATCAGTCAGTGGTCTTCATTTCTCTACAAGGATTCAAATGACGAAAAAAAAAATCTGAAATATTATTAAGAAATATGTGCAAGAAGAAAGAAAACTTCGATTTTTACCCCACAAAGCAACACAACGCTATACCAGCACTCGTTTTTGAAGAACACAGAAAAGCGCCAATCACCAATTTTAGTTCTGTGACTAAGAGGAAGCCTACATGTAAACTAACTTCAAGAATCAGTAATTGGAAGCCCAGCAAGAAGGTCATCCGTTCATCTGTCGGTCCTCCTTCCTGCTTCCGGTTCCTCGAGTTTCTGTGTGATGAGGCTGTTGGAGCCTTGGAGGGTTCATTTTCGTCCAGACAAAGCAGCCTAGCTCATCCATGCAGTCTCAACTTTTAGATCATCAGTTTCTTTGATGAAAGCTGCAACTCTTTCCTAAGTGAACAGGGTTACGAAAACACTGGGCCTAGCCCATTTGTTACTGAAGGGAAACATTCCAAAGCATTATGTCTAAGCCTACCTGTAATAAGGCCACTTGTTGCTAAAAACTAAACGATTCTACCCATGTTTCCACTATTTACTTTTAAAAACAGACATGATCTTTTTTGTCATAATGCACACGAACATGTGCCGACGCCGATAATGGCAGGTTGCCAATAAGTTGTACCTTTCACAATGTACTTTTTTGAGGGGGGGGGGGCGCAATTAGGTCTTTTTGAAGGCACTTCTCGACAATGCCAACAATTTTGATGTTTTTGAAATGCCGCTGTATATAACTGAAATTCAGTCATTTTCTTAAACAGATATTTTGTTCATTATGGTGTGATTGTTTTTCTCGTAATCTCGTCAATTTCATTTTTTTTTGCTGCCGTCATTTTCCCACCGTTTGCCAAAATTCGCTTTCCGACTTTTTGAGGCAATGTAGAACCGGTATTTTTTCTGTGGCCAAATTTTGAAAGGCATCGAAGTTTAGAAATTAGCACCAATTTGCAAGTACATGTACATGTATTTACTTCTCTCGTTGCAGATGATTAATTTCTATGCCGTTATTTTCGTCATTTTGATTTGTTATTTCCATAACACATTTTGTTTACTTTGTGGCCAAAAAAAATGTTACTGATTTCGGGTATTTTTACTCTCACTAACGCTGTGATGTTTTCCTCGCGTTATTTTCATCATTTTCCTAGCGTGTAGGCCTACACGTAGAAAGCGGAGTAGAAAGCGGAGTTCCTCGAGTTTCTGTGTGATGAGGCTGTTGGAGCCTTGGAGTGTTCATTTTCGTCCAGACAAAGCAGCCTAGCTCATCCATGCAGTCTCAACTTTTAGATCATCAGTTTCTTTGATGAAAGCTGCAACTTTTTCCACGGGTGGACAGGGGTACGAAAACACTGGGCCTAGCCCATTTGTTACTGAAGTGAAACATTGCAAATGCAGCCAATAATTATGTCTAAGCCTACCTATAACCAGGTCATGGGTAGGACCCGATGGAAACCAAACGATTCTACCCTTGTTTCCATTATTTCCTTTTTAAAACAGACACGATTACTTTGTCATAATGTGCCGACGCTGATAATGGCAGGTTGCTTTGGAAACTGCATGACTCGCACACTATAAACAACCATTAAAAAAAATTCACATGACATTAAGATTACAAAATGCCATCTTAATCCTTGCCAATCCCTTCCAAATCGGACTTACATTGAACATAGTACTGTACAGAGGGAGGGTTACACGTAGGCTAAATTCAACAAGGAAATAGTAGTTTTCTATGCAACTCTAAACCTGTCGCATATCTTGAAATGCTTTCTTTTGAAATTTACGTTAAGTACGGTATACTCGTAGCACAAATATTTGATCGTGAAAGTCTATATTAGACCGATCTCTTTAACTACTGCAACGCTTTTTTCGTTATGGTTTTCGTGTTCTCCCCTTCAATAAAAAAGGTCAAAGTAAGACAACCAAATGAGTAACTCAAAGGAGAAATATATACTTGATGAAAACATGTATCCCTGCCGATCTTTCCAAATCGGACTCACATAAATGATGTAGATTAAGTTTAAACCTTTACAAAAACACGAAGAAATGTCGCATGCGATAGTAAATATGTCGCATGTCTTATACAGCCATTTTCCCTATCGCTTTGCTGATTACACTTATTTCTGGCCTTTTTGAAGGCAAACTTCTTGACAATGTCACAAATTGCAGTTATTTTCGCTGACGAATAATACTTAAAAGATGTGGTGTAGGCCTATAACTTGGGGGAATGCCTTTAACATGCTTCTTTAATTGAAATTCAGTCATTTTCTTACATCAATATAATGGAGTTATTCCTTTATTTCCGTCATTTTTTAATCTTTTTTTTTCTGCCGTCATTTTCCCTACCGTTTACCAAAATTCGGTTTCCGACTTTTTTAAGCAGTGTCGTACCGTACCGGAAGTGGCTGCCGATTATAATTTGTTTTTTTTTTGTTAACATTATTTTGGTCATTTTTCATGCAAATTTTTGCATGGCATAGGGCCTTAGAAGTTTAGAAAATTACCGATTTTCAAATATTTATTTCTTTCGCTTACCGTAATTTTCGTCTCTTTAATTTGGTTCTTCCGCAATCGATTTTTTTTTCACTTTGTAGGTAAGAAAAATAACACTGATATCAAGTATTATTTCTCTCACTAACGCTGTGATTTTTTAGCCGTGTAAACTATGTTTCGTCACTTCGCATTGATTTTCGGTGTAATTTTCGTAATTTTCCTGTTACCTGTAGAAACAGAGTGCCGTGCTTCGATAAGAACTCCAAGTACTATGTGATTTTCGTTGTAATTTAATTTGGACCGATTTGATTTTTGTTTCCACGTTTCGTCACACGCGTTTAGTCAAATATTTCCTGTAGGTATCGCAGTAAAGGTAAAAACAACACTGATTTCAGTTATTTTCGGCGTAAATTTCATCATTTTCTCAGCCACTTGTTGGAAGCGGAGAAACATTTCTGTGAGAAGAAGATCCGCTCATGATTTGATTTTCACTGCAATGTATTTAACACACATTTGACTTTTTTCTTCAATTTTCGTCATATTCGTTGTCAAATATTTCAGGTATAGGTATCTCAGTAAAGTTAACAAGTAACAGTGATTTAAGCTTTTATTTCTTCCAATTATAGCGGTAACTTTGGAGTAAGAATTCGTATTTTCGTCGTTTTTATGTTTTATAATATTGCAAAATAATATGCAGTCTGATTTTTGATCAAATATTCCGCAAATTGGAAAGTGTCTGATGAGGGCATCCTTGTCCAGATAGAGCTTCGTAATTTTCCAGTCTCATCCAAGCTTGGCGGTCCTCCTTTTCTAAAACATGACAAAAAGAGTAAACTAACAAAATTGAGAATTAATATTTAAAGAGGAAATCAAGCATCGTAAGAGGTGACATAGTATTGACAAGGAATAACAAATTTAAGTGTAGGCCTACATATCCCTGGTCTCTTTTCAAGTAAACATACCTTAAGAATCGGTAATGGCCAACCAAGCAGGCAGTGTCAGTCAACCGTCGGTCCTCCCAGCTTATGGCAGCTTGAGGCAGGCCCATCCATCATAGGGCAATTCCCTCACCAGTCAGTGGTCCTCTGTCTGTAAAAAGATTCAAATGAAAGAAAATATCCGAATTATTATTAAGAAATATCTGAAAGGTAGAGCAAGAGGGGGGGGGGGGGGAGAAATGTTCGAATTAACCCCACAAAGCAGTGCCCCACAACCAGCACTCTTTATTTGTTGGAGAACATAGAAGAGCGCCAGATCACCCATTTTGATTACTTGTTTCTGCTTATTCTTTAGGTACATGTAACTAAAAACTAACCTCAAGAATTAGTAATGGGAAGCGCAGCAAGCAGGTCATCCGTCGGTCCTCCTCCCTGCTTCCGGTTCCTCGAGTTTCTGTTTGATGAGGCTGTCGGAGCCCTGACGATGTCTTGAGGCAGGCTCATCCTCATCTCAGTAGAGCAATTCCCTCATCAGTCAGTGGTCCTCACTTTGCTGAAAGGATTCAAATAACGAAAGGAAACATTTGAATTATTGAGCTGTATTCGTGCCACGGCTCGAAAGGGGAAAGAAAACATTGAATTAACCCCACAAAGCAAAGCCCTGCTACCAGAACTCGTTTGTTGACGAACATAATAACAGAGTCAGATCGCCCATTTAAATTAGCTCTGTGACTTGATTGTTCCTGTTAAGAGGGGGCCTACATGTAAACTAACCTAATAATCAGGAATGGGAAGCCCAACAAGCAGGTCATCCGTTCATCTGTCGGTCCTCCTCCCTGCTTCCAGTTCCTCGAGTTTCTGTTTGATAAGGCTGATGGAGCCCTGACGATGTCTTGAGGCAGGCTCATCAATCTCAGTAAAGCAATTCCGTCATCAGTCAGTAGTCCTCATTTTTCTGAAAGGATACGAAAGAAAACTTTGAATTATTGAGCTGTATTCGTGCCAGGGCTAGAAAGGGGAAACAAAACATTGAATTAACCCCACAAAGCAAAGCCCCGCTACCAGAACTCGCTGTTTGTGGACGAACATAGAAGAGCGCCAGATCGCCCATTTTGATTAGTTCTTAATTGTTTCTGTTTAAGAAGGCTACATGTACACAAACCGGATAGTCAGTAATGGGAAGCCCAGCAAGCAGGTCATCCGTTCATCTGTCGGTCCTCCTCCCTGCTTCCGGTTCCTCGAGTTTCTTTGCGATAAGGCTGATGGAGCCCTGACGATGTCTTGAGGCAGGCTCATCAATCTCAGTAAAGCAATTCCGTCATCAGTCAGTGGTCCTCATTTTTCTGAAAGGATACGAAAGAAAACATTTGAATTATTGAGCTGTATTTGTTCCAGGGCTAGAAAGGGGAAAGAAAACATTGAATTAACCCCACTAAGCAAAGCCCGCTACCAAGAACTCGTTCTTTGTTGAAGAACATTATCACAGAGTCAAATCGCCCATTTTGATGAGTTCTGTGACTTGATTGATCCTGCAAAGAGGAGGTCAACATGTAAACTAACCTCAAGAATCAGTAATGGGTAGCCCAGCAAGCAGGTCATCCGTTCATCTGTCGGTCCTCCTCCCTGCTTCCGGTTCCTCGAGTTTCTGTTTGATAAGGCTGTCTTGAGGCAGGCTCATCAATCTCAGTAAAGCAATTCCGTCATCAGTCAGTGGTCCTCATTTTTCTGAAAGGATACGAAAGAAAACTTTGAATTATTGAGCTGTATTCGTGCCACGGCTCGAAAGGGGAAAGAAAACATTGAATTAACCCCACAAAGCAAAGCCCCGCTACCAGAACTCGTTGTTTGTGGACGAACATAATAACAGAGTCAGATCGCTCATTTAAATTAGTTCTGTGACTTGATTGTTCCTGTTAAGAGGGGGCCTACATGTAAACTAACCTAATAATCAGGAATGGGAAGCCCAACAAGCAGGTCATCCGTTCATCTGTCGGTCCTCCTCCCTGCTTCCGGTTCCTCGAGTTTCTGTTTGATAAGGCTGATGGAGCCCTGACGATGTCTCGAGGCAGGCTCGTCAATCTCAGTAAAGCAATTCCGTCATCAGTCAGTGGTCCTCATTTTTCTGAAAGGATACGAAAGAAAACTTTGAATTATTGAGCTGTATTCGTGCCAGGGCTAGAAAGGGGAAACAAAACATTGAATTAACCCCACAAAGCAAAGCCCCGCTACCAGAACTCGTTGTTTGTGGACGAACATAGAAGAGCGCCAGATCGCCCATTTTGATTAGTTCTTAATTGTTTCTGTTTAAGAAGGCTACATGTACACAAACCGGATAGTCAGTAATGGGAAGCCCAGCAAGCAGGTCATCCGCTCATCTGTCGGTCCTCCTCCCTGCTTCCGGTTCCTCGAGTTTCTTTGTGATAAGGTTGATGGAGCCCTGATGATGTCTTGAGGCAGGCTCATCAATCTCAGTAAAGCAATTCCCTCATCAGTCAGTGGTCCTCATATTTCTGAAAGGATACGAAAGAAAACATTTAAATTATTGAGCTGTATTTGTTCCAGGGCTAGAAAGGGGAAAGAAAACATTGAATTAACCCCACTAAGCAAAGCCCGCTACCAAGAACTCATTCTTTGTTGAAGAACATTATAACAGAGTCAAATCGCCCATTTTGATGAGTTCTGTGACTTGATTGATCCTGCAAAGAGGAGGCCAACATGTAAACTAACCTCAAGAATCAGTAATGGGTAGCCCAGCAAGCAGGTCATCCGTTCATCTGTCGGTCCTCCTCCCTGCTTCCGGTTCCTCGAGTTTCTGTGTGATGAGGCTGTAGGAGCCTTGGAGGGTTCATTTTCGTCCAGACAAAGCAGCCTAGGTCATCCATGCAGTCTCAACTTTTAGATCATCAGTTTCTTTGATGAAAGCTGCAACTCTTTCTTAAGTGAACAGGGTTACAAAAACACTGGGCCTAGCCCATTTGTTACTGAAGGGAAACATTCCAAAGCATTATGTCTAAGCCTACCTGTAATAAGGCCACTGTTACCAAATAAAAACTAAACGATTCTACCCATGTTTCCACTATTTACTTTTAAAAACAGACATGATCTTTTTTGTCATAATGCACACGAACATGTGCCGACGCCGATAATGGCAGGTTGCCGGTTGCCAATAAGTTGTACCTTTCACAATGTACTTTTTTGAGGTGGGGGGGGGCGCAGTTAGGTCTTTTTGAAGGCACTTCTCGACAATGCCAACAATTTTGATATTTTTGAAATGCCGCTGTATATAACTGAAATTCAGTCATTTTCTTAAACAGATATTTTGTTCATTATGGTGTGATTTTTTTTCTCGTTATTTCGTCAATTTCATTTTCTTTTGCTGCCGTCATTTTCCCACCGTTTGCCAAAATTCGCTTTCCGACTTTTTAAGGCAATGTAGAACCGGTATTTTTTCTGTGGCCAAATTTTGAAAGGCATCGAAGTTTAGAAATTAGCACCAATTTGCAAGTACATGTACATGTATTTACTTCTCTCGTTGAAGATGATTAATTTCTATGCCGTTATTTTCGTAATTTTTATTTGTTATTTCCATAACACATTTTGTTTACTTTGTTATTTTCGTAATTTTTATTTGTTATTTCCATAACACATTTTGTTTACTTTGTGGCAAGAAAAATAATACTTGATTTCGGGTATTTTTACTCTCACTAACGCTGTGATGTTTTCCTCGCGTTATTTTCATCATTTTCCTAGCGTGTAGGCCTACACGTAGAAAGCGGAGTGATTTTTTTTTCGGAAAAAAATTCGCTTACGATGTGGTTTTCGCTACAATTTATTTTGGACCGATTTGAATTTTGTTTTCAGTTTTCGTCATACGCCTAGTCAAGTAAATATCCGGGTAGGTATTGCAGTAAAAGGTAAAAAAAATTAAAAACATTTAGTTTTGTCTATTGTCAGAGACAACAGACGGATACCATTAAAAATAATCACACCACACAGAGAGCAATGCACACTAAGGCAAAAAATCAAACATGCAACATTTACAATGAAACAAAATACAATCTACTTTTGAGTTTTTTCTCCCAAAAGTCATTCTCTCTGTAAGCATTTTTTTAACTCACAGAAAAGTTTATCTTTAAATACTTAATAATGAACCGAGCTTAAAAGCTCTTCACAGAATAGAAATGACTTTTATATAAATGTATGCAAAGTATAATTAACCAAAGTTATGACTTTTGATTTTACTACGATCATTAAAATATGGTCAACTGTCAACTGTGCCCTCACTGCTCACAGACTAGCGAAGTATAGACAATGCGGCGCTTTTACAGACGCTGTTTATCCCAGATTTTTTGACCTTTTAGTGTTACTATAAGAGCGTGTATGTCACCTTAACAGAGAGCTCATTTAGGAATTAGCGTTAAATTATTAACCAACAGTTTTCTCTGTATGGCTATTTAAGTACTAACGTCCTTCCGTGTTTTTGTTAAATGGTTTAAGTTTTAATGTTCAAGTTCTTCTGACGGAAGGGGCCTCTTGGAAATCGGCGCTACTAATGTGCACCGAAGAGGGTATCCCTTACAAGTGACACTGCACCAGGCATGGTCACTGTCAATTGCCAATGGCCTAGAATTTATGAATCTTGTTTGCTCTTAAACATTTTAGACAGTCATAAAGAAATTATATCGTCGTTGGTGGACAACGCGCCATGCATTGCCACTTTCTGTAGTTGTTTGACTAACTTTGTTTAATTATTGTTTTGAGTTGAGCAAAGTACCAGCCAATGTCCGTATATAGGGCAGCATTCCAGTTGATCGATAGAACATCACAAAATGACTCTCAATCAATTACAAAACCGCCTTTAAATTTGCGAGTGAAGTTTCTTACTAGATAAAATAAAATAAACTACACCAGTACTTTCAAGTTTAGGGGACAGTGTTATTCATTAGACTGATTTTCGTTTGCATTAAGTTAGTGTTATACTTTTTTTTTTTTTTTTTTTTTTAGAAAACTTCTAAAACTCCCCATTGCACTGCCTGCAGGCTCAATGTGCGCATGCTCGCAGCGGGCTATGCTTGCTCCCTAATTTTCGTTTGCTTCATTTTCCCTAACACTGTTCATTGCACTTTGCTAAACAGCTCCTAGATTTTCGAAGTATGGTACACGAAATCGCGCGATTACGCAGGTACGCGGATATGCGGATATGCGGATACGCGGGTACCGGGTACGAAGGTACGAAGACCAAGAGGAGATGAACATTATTGTTCTTATTTAGGGCCTACTACTTTACATATGACAATCACAACGTACGTACGTGATACATTTAATTTATCACATACGTGCGAGTGATAATATAATATTACGTACTAGCGCAATATTAGTATTATTATTGCGTACATACCTGATAAATAAGTACATATTACGTACGTACATGTATTGCATATTATGTAAGTGATAATACGTGTATCCTTAAACGAGTATACGTTGTGTATACGTACTTAATAATTATCACGTGGGCCCTACGTACGTAATAATTATCACGTGGGCCCTACGTGACAATATTACCTACGTACGTGATAATATTCAAGTACGTGCGTGAGTTACGTACGTACGTGACAATAACACATACGTAATAGTATAATGAAAATGAAAAAAAATAATAATAACTCCCATGTCCCTTCACGGTCTTCGTACCAAACCGTCTCCGGTCTAGCCAAAAAAACAAAAACAAACAAACACGAGTTTGCCGAACATTATGCATGAATATGCCTTATTGTCGAACGGAAAAGCGATAGAACGCGGCGCGGATGTTTCTTAACGCGTATGAGAATATTTCGCCGAATTTAAATGCCTATAACATTATCCTAACACTCCTACAGATCCAGCAGCTGCTTTGCTTTGCGGATGCTGCATAATGCACGCCTGCAGCGTCTGCACTCCTCCCAACTTGACCTACAAAAACAACTAATTAATTGTTTGCATCACTTGCACCAACGTTTTGCCCAGAATGTTGATTAGGTTTTAAATTGTTTCAATTTATTTTTTAGTTTCTGAGACTGAGGTGGAGAACGTCTTTTAACCTTCTCCAGAAAGGGAGTTACAGAAGACCTGCAAGTCAATGTGACAATGAAGGAGACACTGTCACAGGTTTATCATTGAAAATACTGGTGTAAATTAGCGAGTTTAATTATTCAGGGACAACAATTTGAAAAAAAAATCCACTGGAATGCTACCCTTCAACTGTTCCACGTGCGAATGCAATGTCACTGCACGTATCAAATTCCTATGCAAATTAACTCACGTGCGAACACAATGTCACTGCACGTGTCTGACGAATTCTTTCGAAATTTTCTCCCCACGTGCAAATACAATGTCACTGCATATTTCAGACGAATTTCTATGCAAATGTTATACTCAACGTGCGAACGCAATGTCACTGCACGTATTTTATAAATTCCTATATGCAAATTAACACACGTGGGAACACAATGTCAATGCACGTGACAAATTCCTATTGGCATTGCATTATTATTGAATAAAATAATCATTTCCGTTCAACCTTAATTCTGCTGTAATTTATCTTCCATGTAAACTTTTTTTTTAACATCCAATGAAATTTAAGGAGTTCTCTGTTTCAGGTGACAAAACTCTCTACTTTTACCAGAGCTTATACACGCTATACGCAATCATGTACATTAATCAGAGACATGTAACGTACCTCTTTCTACTCTTGAAGACATTGCCCCTCTTGGTGTTGATCTTGGAATTTTATACACAGCCAAAATGATAATTTTGAACAGTGTAATGAGTTGCATGCAGTGAGCGTGAGGAGCACAACGACAGTAATGAAGGCCTAGCCCAGCACCGAAACAACAGCTTAAGATAAAGCCCGTGCACGCTAGGTCGCTGTACCATGGTGATCAGCGAGGCATGAATGTAACAATAGGGCTGGAGTCTGAGTGGAAATCTTCTAAACACGTTATTTGCATAATGTGCATTCAGCACAAGCCTGGGTTAGAAATGAGAATCGGATAGAATGCTAATGACGTAATCCCGATGGGCGATTACATTTTGGTCACGAGACTTACTTAGAGGGGTGGCACAGTTTCATAATATACTGATCAACTTGAGTTGAAAACAATTGCCTGTTTAAATACAGTTGTGAAGGACGAAAACGAAATGTACTGCACCCACTTTTGGGGGTTGAATTTTTGGACTGACGGTTACAGTAGCATCACCGGGGCACTTGCTCAATAAAACGCATCTTCCGTTGGTGTAGCAGCGTATCCAGCTTTTTTTTTGGGGGGGGGGGGCACATCCGTGCTGAACTTGATGTCGACATGTTTTTTTCACTGGACACTTGGCTTCCGTAAAATCAAATGGTAGGGGGGGGGGGCTGGGCTGGGCTGGTACCAAGTTTAAAAAAATTGGAGCGCTCTTCGAAACCGGCCATTTTATTCTGGTTCTGTATCTGGTGGAATATACTGCGTGCATAATCTCATCACAAGGATATCTTAAAGAAGAAAAAAGGACAGTGCGGGAACACATTTCCCGATCGTAGCATTAAAACCAATGGAGCCAAATTATTCAAACGCCACTTTTGAAGGATTTCCGGTACAAATGCAAGAAACTATTGATCTTTTATGAAGAATTTGGGTTGGAAACACATTAGCACAGCTGTACCGGTATTCGCGGAGTGCCCGGGGCCTATCGCGCGTAGCAGCCGGTCTATTTCGCGGTCCGTTCATGGTGACTGCGGGCGCGCGGCATGTACCGCGTTCACCGTTTGTAAATCTCAACTTTAGGTCCTCAGTTTCATTAAAAAGTATTTTAAGAATTTAAGGACCGGATGTATATTGCGAAAATAAATAAACAGTTATTTGTTTGGTGTTCTTAAAATGTTATAGGAGGAGCTGAGGCTCAACTTTGAGAATCAAAACCGAAACTCAGATAACGAAGCTTATTTGAACGTGATTTACCCTCTTCTCTTGCGGAAAGGGATTGTTTTATTTTCATGTGTGACCTTTTTATTATTGGTTATTATTACTATTTATTATAATAATTATTGTTATTGTACCAGAAATCATTTGAAATGGCGTTTGAATAATTTGGCTCCATTGAGATTCACGACACGACCGGGCATGCAATGTGCAAGT